CCTAAACCCTATAACTCCTAAATCCTAAAACTCGGAGCCCCAAAACGGGCTCAGAACTGAAGCTCCGGCTGGCAGCAGCCGCCGCACCGCCGAGCGAAGAAGCCCGGCCTCCAAGGGAGCCGAGCGGGTTGGGTTTGAGTTTGAGGGGCTGTTTTACAGGACCTTCTATAGGGACTTTATGGGGGCTCTCGGGTTCTGCATGGCCTTAGTGTTCGGAGAAAGCTGCAGAGTTCGGGGTGGGAGTTGTTTCGATGCAAGTCGCGTGGTGCGGCATGTCGCAGAAGCATTTGCCCTGGAATCAGATGGCCAGGGCATCATGAGGACTTCTTCTTGGCTCATCTCTACGTTCTGTGGCGATACCCCCCACATGATGCCCTGAGTTATCGTGGTATGTCAACCCGTCATGCTTCAGAGCCACAGCCCAACATCAAGGTCCGTCTGTTCGACGAGCTGGAGTTGCCGCTGCGCCTGCTGCGCAGTGAGGTAGCCGCTTTGCAGGAAGTCGCCGACGCCCTCCTGCATCCACCACCTCCGCTGACTTCTCACTTGACTTCTCCACACGCTCGGTGCGATTCAGCGAAGCTTTGCTTGGACAACTGCCTCTGATCTCCTAAACAATACTACGAAGGCTGCCTTGAACAGGAAGCCCCGTGCAGCCACGCGACAAACTGAAGAGATGGCAGCAGTTCTCCAGAACCTGAAAGCACATTCGTGAACCCGTCGCCCCTACTGTAGCTGTCACTTTGAGGTCACGCAACAGGAGCCGGGTGTCGGGGCGAGGGCAAGCGGGTTACAACAATGCCAAGATTGTCCAGAAACGATGCGGTAGAGGTGGCTAGCCAGCAGTTGAACGGCTGCCAACGTTGAATTGACATGACACCTCCTCAACATCTTTCAGACCCTCGTACCCCAGAACTCCCATCCGGGAAACAGCCGCCAGCCCTGGTGCCACGCGCGCCCGCAGGTATTCGATGGCAGCCCAGAAGCTGCGCACGAGAACCTGAGCGAAAGAGGGTTTTCGTTCTGGGCTTAGCAAAGAGGTAGTTTCTGCACATGGCGAGGCTGCAATGAAGACAGTGGACCTAGTTTCGCTTTGCAGTTGTTTAGCACATGTTCCAGGATTGAGTTCGGGCTGTGGGAAGTTGTGACGAGACGGCGGCAAAGTCGGCAAGAATGTAGAGAGAAGAGACAGGTTCGTCGTGCGTTTCATTACAGCAAAGACTTGCCACGTGAACACGGCGTGCGGTTGTAAGTGTACCTTAGAAGACTACGACCAAGGCTGCGAAAAAGAGACGGTGCTGAATGCTTGGGTAGCAGCGAAACCTATGGCCATACTATGTCAGCACGGGACACAGGCGCATGCTGGACCGGTCGAGCACTGCTTTCTGGTACGGAGCACCAGGACTCTGAGCATTTCAGCGCGCATTAAGCCATCTAGGGGATCAGTCACATATCAAGGTTTCAACTCAAGTATGAACAGAAACGGTGATCGCAGCTGACGCAGATTCTCACGACCGATTTTGCGAGATCCCAGAGCAAGTCAACGCTGGCAGCTATTTTTATGTGACGCTCCTGCGGCCTTGCCAATTCTAGAGGCATGCCTTTACCAAGAGGCGTAAGTGGATGCGTCAGATGAACGAGGCACGAAAGCAAGACACAAATCTACTACTGGTGGGCACGAGTGCACCCCGATACTGGCTGCAGCATGCTGCAGCTACTTCAGTCCCATCACCTTGACTGCACCACGAGGTCGGGAAGCACGGAGATCGAAAGAGTGGCAACGCAGGACAAAGGAACGAACAGCTCTCCTAGAGCTCTTGACTCAACTGCATGATCACGGTGGCTGACAAGGCTTTAGGCGCAGATGTTATGAGAGGGCGCGACATGAAGCTGGCAAGCATGGATCTTGTGAGTGGTCATTCCAAACTGACTGATGACGGAAGCCACCCTCGGACCGGCCAAGGCACATAGAAGCAGTGGGCTTCTGAAGCACGAATCACGTCAGGGCAGGCACCGTTCCAGGCATTCTGATAAGAGGCACCATCCGCCTGACCAGAGCTGCTAAGTCTGCTTGCCCAAGGGCTTCAACACAAGTACCGGGCTGACTACACCAACCTGAAACCCGGAAACCCCCGCTGACGTCAAGAGAAGCGACTCGAAGCAGGATCATGAACAACATGCCGAAAGAGTCGCAGTTTCCAGTGACCCAGAGGTTGCATAACAGAAAACACAATAGAACAAACACCTCTACACATGAAAAAACAAAGAACACATGGGCTTTGTCATTCGGGTCCAACGTAGGGCTGCCTGCGCGGCATCCAGTTGCCTCTGGAGATCGGACACCGCCCAGGCGGCCCGCTGGCAGAAGGCTTCCTCAGGGTCTCACGGCCAGAAAAAAGTTATCAACAAAAAGGAAGCTTTTCTTTCTCTTTTTATTTTTTTGCGGGAAACGGTAATTTTTTGCGGAAACGTACAGTTCCCTCTCTCGTTCGCTTGATCTCGCTTGCTGGCTTGCTTGCCTGCCAGGCGTGC